AGTCCATTTCACCTTATAAAATTACGATTGACGGATGAACTGGGGGATCGACTCACTAAGTGGTTTGCAATGTTCACGGTGTTGGTTATCCTCAAATGGCCCACCTCACACTTCTAAGGTTTCAAATCATCCATAGAAGACTGTGGTTTCCAACTGCGTTTTTGTCTAATGGACTAAAGAAGAAAATGTTTACTGGCTATGGAGAAAACAATAAATATGTTTGAAATCCATCCACTTTAAGGCGTGCAAGAAAATCTGCTTCTGAAATAGCCAGAACCGGTCAATTCAGTGATAGTCCTAATCTTACACGCTCTTTCAATCAAGACTCTGCACTATATCTATTAACAAAACTCTTGTGGGAAGGCTTCTATTGTCATGAGAGGGAGAGAGAAAAATCCTGCCTCTTTCTCATAATCCGTGGTCCTATGACGGTTGGTTCTAAACATAGAATATGACCTTTTCTTGGAAGTAAGGTTAGCCAGTCACGTAATCATATGCGAAATCAAATGGGCAATTTGGAAAACTACGTCAGAAGCAAAGGTCTTTGGGACTGGGTTTTTCCTCGCCTTGTATCTTATCGAGAAAGGAGTATAGACTGCGCCGGTGATTATTTTAAAGATCTGGAATTATTTGGTAGTGGACAACTAACAGTAGTATTGTACATATTGCTCTATTCACAACTGGCTGATGAATCAACAAAATTGAAATAAAAGGGGTTTTTTAGTTTAAGTTTAAGAAGAATGGCAGCTTTTGCGAGAAATTCATATAATGAGTAATTTCTCTACTAGTTAATAAAAATTAAGGTGTGGATCTTACCCCTGCACGTATCTGAGAGCACAGCAGCACAATACCACTGCTTGGTGGGGGGCTTCCAACACCAATCCCTAATTGGTGGATTGGACTTCGATCGAAGGCTAAAACTACCGGAGAGTGGGTCCTGTGGTTGTTTTAAGGTACATCAAGCAGGCATTTCTGCCCCTCCAGGTAGTCACTGTACTTGCGTGATTGAATGATTGACTGATCGCCTGATCGTTAGCGCCACTTAGTGATGGCATCCACGCCACTCGGCTTGTGCACATGTGGTTCATCGCGCGGGGCTCGTGACATGTGCTTTTTAAGGGTTTGTTTTTTTTAATTTCAATTTCCCATTTTCACGTGTCATTCGTCTTTCAGTTATTATCTATCCTGTCTGCAGACCGCCGATTCTGCTGGTTGCATAAGGCGTCTTTTTCCTAATGAACATTTTGAATTTATTTCCTCTTGACTTTGGCCATCAGTACTGCCAAAAATAAAAACAAAAAAACTACTCGTTTCAGGATTAGAGATAGAAATTAAGAAATATGAGAAGTTTCTGCCGGAATTGTGCGCTTTGCTTCAAACAATTAGGCAGTAGCGCTGATCAATGATCAATTAGTCAAGCCTGTCGTGAGTTTTGCCTAATCTTCAAACGTTGACGGTGAAGCTTGTCAGGTATGTGAATTTCCACTAAAACACACACCCAAACGTTAAGCAGATGTCATCAATCAGGCAAAATGTGCTAGTGACTTTTCACATCCTCCATTTTAAACAATCGGTTTCGTTTGAGATGGAGGGTGAGTTGAATTCTGGCCTTCCAACTGTGGATGTGCTGCTTGCACTGACATGATATGAATGACATTAAAATTTTCTTCTCAGGAATGTGTGTAATGTATTCTTTGCCAATTTAGAAACAGCTAGTTGCTCCAACTCTTATTGGTAATGGTCTGGTCAAGTATAACACCAGGTAAAGAGGTGTAGAATGTCGTTGATCAGTGCCATAACTTTAATAAGAATAATGAAACATTTACACTGTGTTTTTCGGTTTTCTCGTGAGACCCTGATAGCAAAAGTGTTGAGATTCTGTTACATTTAAAGGTAAATTCTTGATTTCGTAACGGAAAACTATGTGGGATTTATCGCACCTTAAAAGCGAAAACCGTCGATGTTGCAGCCTTGCCATCTCTAGCATTACCTCCTTGAAGGATTTTTCAAATTCACTCCTAATGGCTTTGTGAATGTGTGGTACTCCGTAATTTGTCAAGTCAAGCTCTTAATAAGATAGCGTTAAATGTTTAACTGAAGAGTGATTGAATGGTGTTTGTCATAACTGCTTACTGGTCAATGTTGGGTGTAAAGTCACGGGTTCTATAGCTCATCACATCGTCGTGCTAGCCAATAATGGTTAAGACTAGCGGTAGACATCTAAGCACATTCACTTCATTCATCTGCCATGCCAAGTGTCTGCGAAAGTCCAAATAAATTCCTTGGTCGTCACGGGTATAGCATAAACGCAATCATGTACTCCCTAGCTGACCACACCCTCTACAGCCAAGCACTGTCACCCATTTGTTGATAATTCAAACCAGCTGTGGGCCACAGAAATCAGCACATTTGAATAAACCATGCAAATTTCAGACTTTTTAATGCCTTTTAAGGGTGGATTGAGCAAAGTGGTTTGGAGGCCAACTTAACACCTGAAGCTTTCGGTCTCTATTCATGCATGCAGGAACTGAGGGGCGTATTCTAACCATTGTAGAAGATGGAACAAAGCCACGGTGGCTGGACAAGTACCCAGCAGCGGCTCAAGTTCACGAGCACCATGTCGGCCGTTCCGAGGTCTCCAAGATGTCGCGCCTTAAACAGAACCCCAGTCCTGGAGACAGTAGCCACCGCGACCCCTATGCCTTGACCTATTCACTCTATACTGAGGCACCACACCAACTGGGTGGTGGCCAGTTAATGAAAGGTGTCAGAAGTTTTGAAACCTATCCGCCGGAGGCACCCTACATTGCTCCACAGTCTGTGGTGGCTTCGCGTCCACTACCACCAACGCCGGTATTGCAGAACAATGGTGGGATGTATGAGGAGAATGGACGTGGTATTTCAGCGGTGCTAGGTGGGGAAGTGGATCCAGCCTTGAGTGAGTTCCAAATCAAGACGGAACTGTCGAGTCCTCAGTACCGAATTCCTGGCAGGTTAAATTTATTATTAGAATGCGTTTTGATCACAGGATCGTTTTTGTAACAGCTTGATATCTACAGGAAAGCTCGTTAAAATTTCGTAAGCTTTCTTTTAACTTAAATTAGAATGGTTGAATCGCTTTCGTAGGGAGTTCACAAAATAAAGTTTGTCCTTAGGTATTGAGGCCCAATAGTATTACGGTCATTTTAGCCTTCAGCTGAAGCCGCATATCATTTAAGCTCGACTATCTAAAGAGAAATAAAATTGTTAAATTTTGAGCTTACTTTAATGTCTTGTGAAATGATTTGCACTGCAGAGGTTCCATCTTGGCAGTCAGGCTCAATTTTCACCCTGTCCAGTAGCTATTTCATCTTTTCTAGTAAATTTTGATAAATTCAGTTTTAGGTTTTAGAGACATCAAAAAAGGGGTGTCCGAAAACACTACACAGTATTTTATATATTCCGGGGAAAAAGGATTTTACTTCCAAATATCAGCTGTCTTTCAAATCAATTTGAAGTGTCATCCAAATGTGTCAAATGGCCTTTCCCAGATGAAGTACTAAATAAACTTATCACCTAGCACAGTTTCATTCCAACTATCAGATAAAATTGGTTTTCTTTATCATAGAATTCATAAATGTCAGAAGTTAAGTCAGGTTTCCTTAGGAGTTTGTCTTTCAACCAAACTGTGAAGATGCTTGATAGCAACGTCACTGAGCCCTCTTGAGAATCCTACTTGATCTAGAGTTCCGCTCTGTTTGAGAACTATATCTGTGGAAGGAGAAATGTGCTAACCATCACGTGTATCCACCGCTAGTCTCAAGAATACTGGCCTAAAAGCAGTAATTTAACAAAAGACGATATTTAAAACTGTTTTGTAAGGATAGGGTTATGCTTCTGCTCCTCCTTCACCACTTCATTCCCAACCGTGTCTATCTGGGTTCTATCCAGCTAGCAGAGAGGTGGAGGAGGTATCTCGAGTTCACTTTATTGGCATCGCCATGCAGGTATCGTAGACAGCTCCGCAGCGGACATTTCCAGATGGTAGTGTCACTTCTGTAGTTAATAGTATTCCTGTAGAGCACGTGATTGTAGTGATTGCTAAAAGCAGATGTTACTTTCAACCTTTCTGTCTGAGTTCATCACATTTCTTCCATCCAAAGCATGTTCCCTTCTTCCATCGTGTCAAGGTCTAGCATTCAGAAACGGATCGAGTTTGCTTTCCGCCACCACCAATGTAATGCCCCGAGTCTCTCCTGAAAATAAGTGAAGTTATGATGCTAGGCTAGGAATTGTATTGCTGACATACAGAAGGACTGATAGGACACTGACATGGCCTTGGTGGCCATGGCGCCCAGTGGTAGTATCAAAGGCGGAGTCTTAGGTGCCAGCGAAACAAAAATGAAGAATTAAACAACTAATCATAGTATTACAATATCCTCCTGCTTTCGTTACTTTAACCATATTCCATCCATTAAGTTGTCATGTGTTTATTATTTTGATGACCTATGGTTTTAGCAAGTTAGGTTATGATCGAAGGCATTGATTTTATTGACATCTGAGTTGACATCGACAGCATCTAAATGAAGAGGCGATGGTGATGAAGGGGGGGAGGGTTAGAGCGATTGACGCACTCAAAAGTGCATGCACAATATGAACTAAACGTCAAAATATGTGCATCTTCCAGGCAATTATTTTTGATTTTCGATTATCTAATCTCGCTTAGCCGCATTGTTTACGTTGAGTGCACACTTATTACGCGAGCAGAGAAATGAAACTGCAACCCCCTTATGGTCCCCGGGTTCATCTGATTGACATGTTTGACATGTTATTAAACTTGGGTTTGTAGTTCGAGACAGCCGTGAAGCCAATGCAACCTACAGAAGAGACGGAAGGCTAGTGGAAGAGCGAGATCTGGGTAGCATCTGCATTATTTTAGGTGCCCTCTATTGTCAATCCCCTAAGCCGGTCCTCACAAGACTTTGAATGGTCTGTCATTGGCCACGAGACGGAAATGTAGACGATATGATGCATTCCCGTTGTAGCGAGACGCCTTTTCATTTAGATGAGAGTCTTAAATGTTACTCCCTTTAATGGATTAATCGCGTTGAAGGAGGACTTCATTTATGAGACCTTGAGGAAATCTGGATGATATGTGAAAGTGACTTCATTCTGCATTCCAATCGGTTTCCGAAGGAACCTTTTCTTTTCCTTGATTGCTGCTGTTTGGAAGTTTACCTCGGTTGCTCTTAGGTCCTTGGAACATGCGAGGGCAACGGGCCGTAAAATAATGATTAAGTATAATCTTTGTGTGAGTGTTGGAAACAGTTCCCTAGGTAGGATTTTGGTCAGCGTAAAGAAGGTCATTGTCCATATCTAGGTTGCCAAAAACCAGCACAATTTTGATTACCATTCTTTCAAAGACAGCCGCAGAACTAGTCATCCGCGGCATATGCCTTCCTTCTGTAACTTTTCGGTGTGGCAGCTGATCGGCAAACTCGGAATTAGTATTTTCGGGGCGCATACGCCAAAAAGCCTTTAATGTAGAGTCTTAGTTATTCTTGAGGACTGGATAGAAATCAAGGTGGATTGAAAGTCCTCTAGCGTTGGTGGCATTAAAGAGCTTCAATGTCACCAATATGGGTTTCCTAATCAAGGAAGACTGAGTAGTCCAGACAAAGTTATTCTATAGCAAAGGCTCGATTACATATTTCATGTTTAATAGCCATATTTGTGACAAATCAATTTGAAATTTCTAAGTTTCACTGATCGTCATCTTTTGTAGATTGCGTCGTACTCACCAACCCCCTAGCCGACGAGAATGCGCGCCAGAAGAGTTCCACATGGAACCAAAGCATCGTTAACAACTTTACCCTCCCTATCTCTAACTCTAATTGGCTTCAACCGCACTCCAGTTACCACACCTCCCAATTCCAGAACGGTGGTATAGTCCTCCTGGACTCCTTTAACTCGGAACACTCACTACTCTCGAACTTACAATTCCAAGAACGACCCGCCTTTGCCTCTCTCGACCCCTATGCTAGTCTGCCACCGACGGGGAGTAGGTCTGGAGCCTCGTCAGGGTCTACAGCCTCACCATCTGTCGCCTTCTCGGTGCCGAACTTCGGCAGTTGCTGCACGGAGCCCACGCAGGGAAATTTCGACTCAAGTGTCCTGAAACCGGCCACCTCGGAATGGATCCCAAAGCCGGAATCGGAGGCGAGGGGCGTGTATCTGCAGGACTTCTCACCTTTTAAAGTAAGTGGTCGTTTGGATTTCCTGTTTGTCTTCATTCCAAGTTGATCAAAGCATAATGGATTACGACAACATTATTTTTGCCTACTTTTCGTGTTTACACTTAGCAGAAGGCTGTACTTCTTCGTTTCCTTCCTTTTCATCAATTATTATTTTAAAAAAGACTTGGGTGTAGGGTTTAATAATTTGCACCTATATTAGTGTTTTTGGACTTCTAAATGCCGTTTTCTAACTGCATGACAGTGAATTTCTTCGACAAAGTTTTGCTGGTTCATTTTATTTCCGACTTTTTACTGCTGCGCGTCTGGGGAGGAACTACTTTAAGTCCTAATTAAACATTATAAATGAAGCCTTGAATTAAAACGTCATCTGCTTCACTTTTCCACATTTTAGAATAAGGTGTTGAGTTCCGGGACAACCAATCTGCGGCAACCTTTGCTATCCTCTGTGGAAGGTTAGCTGATCTTCACTCCACTTTGACCTTTGACGACTTTGGCAATTATGCTCACCTATTAGAGCAAAATTCATGTTACTAGCAGAAATGAACAGGAAGATCAACTTTAATAATGTGATTTAAGAAGACGCCTCACAGTTATCTTATGCTTCGAAGTAATCACAACGAAACATGTGTGAATTTTTCACACCTCTGACGTCCTTGAAACATTTCAAGTTATTTATTTACCAGGAGTGTCAGGTTTATGGCATCCGGCAGTAGACTAAACTCACAAGACCGAAGTCATGTGACCATACAGCTACTTCAATAAAGTTACCCCCTCAAACGCCTCCAACAGGTGATCAGTGGTTCAACCGCCTGACGAAGGCTTGGAGGACCGCGTGGCGAGACGGAGTGTTTCCAAACCCTTCTCAAGTGCGCCTTCCTTTGGATCTGACCGAGAGCACAGAGGATTGGCGCCTGACACTTGCAAACCTCTGGAGCGACCTCCTTCTCCGTCGTGTTGCTGATTTCGCTTCTGGTCTATTTCACACTCTCCACCCCAAATCCTCCACTGATTTCCGTCTCTCTTCTGCTCTCCTTGGATGGATATTTAAAGTATCCTAACCTTCCTCCCCCTGCTGCCTTCTCAATTTCGCCTCGGAGAATCTCACACGAGTTGTTTTTACTCACGTATTTCAGAATCGCCTGGTAAACTGCGTTCCGATAATTTTGGCCAATGCTCTTCTCCAATCCTCGGAGCTGAATGCGACATCTTCATCGCCAGCTCCACAGTCGCAGAATCAGCAGAACGAGTTAGACGACGGTGGATCGTCGCCTCGTTCACCGAGGGACTGTGAGGCTTCGTCAGGCGGAACTTCCTATGCTTCGCCCCGTGTCAACGGTGGAGGAAGAGCTGCAACACCAACATGGTCAGTGAGCTTTCAGGTAGCACCGCAACATCGTGTCTTCATCAACCTCTCACAGTTGAATGCCAAGTTGGCGGAAAACCACACCACTGCCTCCTATCCCATGCTCCAGTACTTAGACGCCTATGTCTGCGAACTAAATAAATTCCTGACCGGACAGACTCTCCTTCTCGGTGCGTATATGGCTATCAAACTCACCGAACCACCTACTCCAGGAGAGCTCATCCAGGTTCGTCTTCTCATAGCGATCTTTGAAGAACCAGTAGATTCTATCAGAGATTGAGGTGATAATTAAGATGAGCTAGCAGACTTTTTTCCTATGTTCCTATAACCTAGTACTTTTCGAACTAGCCGAACTCTTCCTGACCACAAATCCAAAGTTTTTTTGTCTTTATGGTACTGATTTATCTTGCTAACATGAGTTACTGGCTTTAAAGTTATTGTGATAGCTGTTTGTTTGTCACTGTAAGCAAATTTATACTTATTTTAAGAGCCAAATTAAGTTTATATCAAAGAGAGATGGAAAGTGATGAATGGTAATGTCTGGAAATGAGAAATGATATTTTCAGTGGCCTAGTTTATAATGTATTTAGTTTCAGTTACCTTGGCCTTAAGTGGTTCAAACTATTTTACTTGTTAATTTGATCGGCCTATTTATTTTTTGGTCAGCAGCGTAGATTATTTCCATTTGTGGATGCTGATGTCCATTTAAGTAGTTTTGAGTGGTTTCTCAGGAAATTTCTAAGTATTATAATAAAGGAATTTTGTCTAATTAGATTTAAATTATGAACAGAATTTATTTTGTTAATAGGTGCAACATTCTACTAATAATAAGTTCTAAATGGGCTACCAATCACGGTTTTTTCGTCGGGATGATTGGTTGTCAAAATAATAATGTAAATGATGCAACGCTTACGCAATGGTTGTTCAGTCCGTAAAATTCACGACTAAATTCAGCATGAATTAATGGGTTTTTCGATCACCAGAAGGAGTATGCTTTTGTCACTTGGTCGACTTTTGTTGTTAGCCACTTCTGCGATATATCGTCGTGACAGCAAGCATCATGCTAGTCTTTCTATGGCCTTTTTATCAAATGAAAGTATTATCAAATTTGTAGAATGTTTCATGAAAATCGTGGCAATTTTCCATTACTAATGAGGTGGCCTTCACCGGCGCCTACGATCTGGCAGTCTGTCAATCGAGTTATTGGCTTTCGTACAAGAGTGTAGTGGTTCCGTCTATAAGCCACGTTCAGACGCTAAGTAGACCAGAATAGTTCTGACTCAAAAAAAACTACTTGGAATCAGCTCGACACAGGAACCCGCTTTCAAAATCTATAGCCAATGCAATTTTTTGTTAAATTTTGACATTTCATGTAGTTGGTCTTTTTCATTTCCCTTTTTTAAATTCTTAGGTTTATTTTGTTTATCAGTGCCATCATTTTTAGTCTTCCTTGCGGTTATCTTATCTACCGAATTGTTTAAGTGACGTATTTGTTATGCTCTAGAATCCCCCTTCGGATGCAGACGTGCAACTGATAAACAGCCTCAACGTGAAGTTTCTCCACCTCTTCGGAATGGCCGCAGACCACGTGGCATCCTCGATAGTGAATGGGGAGCTTTGCGACTCCCTCCAGACCCAAGCTAAGGCTATGAACGACGCCATTTGTCGGCGTACAAAACTGCCCGATTTTCTTAGCTGGAGTCGACAGTTTGATGAGAACATAAAGTCTCTGCTCTACGATGTCTGGAACATCAGTCGACACCAGCCACAGGCCTTTATATCACCCGGTCTGGCTGCACTTTGTAGTGACTCAAATCCGTCACCGCTGAAGCTCCTTCACCTCCTCTCTGGACCCACTTCCGATGAAGCCCTCGATGTCGGTTAGTGTGAGTGCCTGGAGGGTGTACAGATCCGCACCGCATGTACATACCGCAACCATCAGGCGCCACGACAATCACCTAGGATGCCAAAAATCACCACCACAAATAAGCAATGGAATATGTAAACAAAGCCGCCTTCACTGCGACAGCAGCCTCCAGTGCCTTTGAAAAATGAAAAAAAAAAAAACAAACAATACAGTGCCTTTTGTCTGTGTAATTATTTTGCTCAAATGCGCTCTAACAGCTAAGTAAGGGGAATTGGTAGGTCCTTTACCTTTTTCTTAATCTCTCTTTTTTTTAAAAAAACAAATGAATCTGCTTTACGCGATTGTCATCGCACTCCAACTAGTGCCTTACAAGGTTGAAATGAAAATGAAAATATAAACGGATGTAGGAGAAGGCACTGATAGTGAGTACCAAAGCACTTAACTTTGATATTTTTACTTATCAAGCTTCCTCTTGCCAATGTATACCCCCTAATCACCCCATTCCCCTTGTTCCACTTCGCCCCTTTCAGTCTTCTTCCTATGTTCAAACCTCAACGGAGCAGCCGCTCTGTCTGGGGAAGTGTGGCAAATAAAGCAGATCGGCAGCTTTGTTCTTATGCAAGGCGTGTCTTCTCCAATGCATTCTTTCCACCATTGTGGACGTTTGTACCACTACCGGTTCAAAATGCAGCCTTCTAGATATCCAGGTAACTTTTTAGTATGTGAGGTAATAGTAATTAGTCGTATTAAATGTAGCCCAGGGGGTACCCCTCAATTGTCAATCGAATCTGGTGGATGAGGCTTAAACTTGCCTGCTTCATGGACGCATCTATTTTTGGATCTGGAGCTGAGGGAGTGAAGCCTCTTCCGGATTTTGTGGCACTTGGTATGGCGCAAGGTGGCGGAACGCACTGCCCAAGGACGAGTCACAAGGTGCTGGCTTATCATACCCCGAATGGCCCTCTGATCTTCATCAAAATCGTCAATTACGGATTATCACCGACAAATAAGTCAAGGACAGCTTTTAGTCATGTTTAAGGAAGGTGATGATGGAATAATAGCTTTGCACACATCAACTGGGTCAAAAATGTTGTGAGACAACTGAACCTTTGAGTCCAGGCAAAAAGACTAAAAGGTTTTCCATTTATAGTTCCTAACTGACCTAAAATCAGGGCGGATTTTGTGCTGCAAAGTTCGATAGACGGAAGAGGATAATAACATCAGTTATCTCCAGACGAATTAACACCTAATTTACAACTCTAAAGCACAGCAAGTAATCCCCAGAACACTTGGCTCCCTCTATGTGAGCTGCACTGCAGACACAATTGTTCGCTCGAAATTGTTCAAACCCTAAAAGTCAAATAGGATTTATGGCTGAGATAAATCCGAAAATGTGTGAGAAAACTGATTCATCTGTCCCTTCATCAGAAATAGTCTGGACTAATCAGTCCGTCGAAAGAAAATCACCGACAAGTGAGAACTTTCTTACCTGCAAATTTTAGAAATTAATGCTGAAAAGTGCTAGTTTTTTCTCATTTAGTATTTTCCAAATGGGAAGTTGTTCTACATCTTGCCTAGCCACCACCGACAGCTTCCTGAACCCACTGGTAATCTGCATACGACTAAAAGCACATTTGTAACGACATTTAAGATCAAGTGTTTTCGGGCAAGGGTACATTCTAGCCTTGGTTAATCAAAAAAAACGCCGGTGCTATCTCTCATCCGAATTGCAAACTTTCGGCCTTTTTAAAACTGACCTCTGGTGTCAAGGAATTTGATCGAAAAGACTGACTTGTAGAATACCCAATGCATTATGAAAATGAGGCTTTTACTAAGGTTCGTTGTAGCGCCTCGAGACTTCCCTGAAGACGAAAGAAGAAGTAATGCTCAGAGAGGATATACATAATCAACATACAGAAGGGGCTGGGGATACTGGCACGGCCCAGAGGCCAGCCCACCTGGCAAAAGTACAATAGCCAAAACGTAATGCGGCCTTTTCCCAAAACCGAGAGTTAAGCAAACAGTAAACGTATTACATGGAGTCTTCTTCGGCGAGACGTGGAGCTAAGAGAAATATGAGTTGCTCCGAATTCGGTGGCTTGTGCCCTTAAAAGATGCATAATGCTTTGCCAATTTTTATAAACTCTGTTTTCAATTAGGCGGCATGTCCTTTGGGTCATGTCAGCAGCCTCAGCTCCTGTATGTTAGTAATTTATCTTTTGCCATACTACTGTAGCGTCCAGGGACTCCCTGAAGACGAAAGAAGACACAATACTCGGGCAGAATATATATATTTAGTACGGAGAAGGCGTCTGGGCTATTGGCATGGCCCAAAAGGCCAGCCCACCCAGCGAGGTACAAGGGGGCTAATTCGAAGTACAAAAGTGGCGCTTCACCAGAACCGATGGATTAACCACCATCGTATTACACTACCATGCCTTATTACGCCTTCAGGGAAGACTTGGAGCACTGCTGTTGTAGTAAAACCGACAGTTATTGCAAAATCTTAGCAACAGTGATACTAAGTGTTTTTTAAAAAATAGCCTTTGGAATTTTTGAAAATATGTTTGAATTACACATTGATTCAGTTAAGTGCGTTGCTGTAACATCCAAAAATCTTTTTAGGGAAATTTTGAACACCATCAGAACTAAGAATGGTAGAAAATCATGAATACACCTTTCTGGTGTTTCGAACTCACATAAATTTAAATTTTGCAAAAACAATATCAAGGCCGTCTCTAGTAAACCTATCCTGTACTTGTACATTAAATCTAATAAGGAATTAATTCATCGTGGTTATTTTTCGGAGTGTCCTTATATACGTGAAATCAAATAAGTAGCAATCACGCAAAAATATTGTGTGTCTGAAATGACTAAAAGTATTTGTTATCGAATTAGGCAGTAAACCGCCTTTTCTACTTGTTTTATTTAAGTCCAGTCAAATTTTCCATCGCACGTTTTGCGTAGCGCCTCAACCAAAAGTTAGGGACCAAATGGGTTTGGAATGGGCAGGTGTTGATGTGTTGATGCGCAACAAGTTGCCCATGTACTCGCCAGGCATTATAACCCGAAAGTTGAGGAACTATATTTGGATGAAGATAGCATCAAACAACATCGCATCCAATGGTTGGCGAGGCGGCGCCCCCAATAAACCTGCTAAGGCGTAGCGCCTCTGTGGGAATGCAATTCTCCATGGTGATAAAATCAAGTTAAAATATGACATCTAGTTGCAAAAAAAAGTAGCGAAGAAAAGTTTCCCTTTTGCTCCTAACTGAAAATCGTTTTACCGCTGCAAGTAAGATGGCTACCTCCATTTCTTTTGTTTTATGGACATTACTGCCCCAAATAATTTGGAATTCCCAATTGGCATGTTTTTACGCATCCCATTAGCCCCCATTTAATTGCTATTTTAGAATAAAAGAGAAACCTTACTTGGGCTTATAATGGCGAAAGGTTTTTCAATGAAAATTGGAAAAAGGGAAGAGATGATTTTTAAAGAGGGGGAACAAAAACCGATTACGTGACAAAAAGAGAATAATTTTTCGGTCCTCTTGCGTCACAAGTCGTGCCCTACAGCAAAGCCGTTTTTCAGGGTGGCCACGAGGCAAATTAAGCACTTTGTTCGAGGCTTCGCAAATACGTTTTCAAACCACTAAAACCAAGATGCGGGTTTCAATGGCTTAAAAGGCAATAGTAACTCCTTCCAAAAATGAATTCATATTCGTTTAAAAATGCATAGTTACTACTGGAATTTTATTGCTGCCATTATATCAAAACAGGCGCAACACTTTTCTGACTTTCTCCCTTAACAACGTTTGGTAGTCCTTAAACTCTAATACTAATCATTGTTTCCGATATATTTGTTGCTGTGAAAGCGCTAGTTTTTTTAGAGTGGCATATTTTTATGGTTAGCGAATTTCTGTAGACGATGCAAAGTACGAAAATGATCCGATAATGAGTAAAAGGGGATTTGACGTTAATGCTATCCAAATAACATTGAACACCTTAATAAAAATTGACAAGATAAAAGAGCTGAAGTTACCCAAATTAAAAGTGTAGGCACTCTAGCCCTCCTGGACACAACTCCATTGCGAATGTTCGGAAAATTGGTGGTCTGTTGTCCAAAACGACAAGATCAGAATGGTGATCCAAAGTGTAGGAACAATTGAATTTCCGTAAAACCCAATTTTTGAGAAGTTTGCTACTAACTTTGAAGGATACATCTACATGGATTCATATTGGAGATGGGTGCCTAGCAGAATGACTTGATTCTGCTAATTCACTTAAAATCATGCGCATTCTTTTTCAGATCACCCTATGTTGGGAATCCGTCTTACCGTATGCCGAATGGATAATTTGGGAAGCCATTACTTCCTAAAGATCTTCGTATGCAGCATGATAGTTATTAAAGCTTGACTAAATTTATCCTGCATTAAAACAATTCTGAAACGTTAATATAATCCTAATCCTCTGTTGCCATAGCAACGTTGCGCACAATTTCAATTCTGAAGTAGCCTTCACAATTCCTTGATTGTGGTCAGAGAGGGTTACAAGGCACATTTTTCCTGATATCTGTGACCAAAATGCCATAATTCCATATACTTGAAGATTAAAAAATATTTTATGGTTGCATTTAACGAGTGGTGCTCTCCTTCCTTGACTCTTTAGTTGATTAGGTAAACGTACTTTCGAGGACCTACAGAGGCGAACCTATCGCAACATCGAGAATCACACTGAGAGCGTAGCTGTCATTATAATCGACTCTCATGTGAAAACTCACATGGTGAATGTAGAATGATTAAGCTTCATCTTGGAGAAGGGGATTCTTAATTGTCCCTACTTAAAGCAAAGCTAACTAAACAAAGCAAAGCTAACTAAACTCTAGATATCCAGGGACACGATTTTCATCCTGACGTCTACTGGAATAAAGCTGATACAGTTTAACTGTTCGTTTTGGTTTCGTGGTCACTTGAGGCTCCGCTCATGGTACATTTATTTGTGGCTTGGCCTCCGGGCCATGTCAGTAGCACCTCACCCCTTCTGTGTGCCGCTAATGGATATTCTCCTTCGACATTGGAACTTTTTAGGTTTTAGGGAAGTTTTAAGTTGTTACAAACGTTTATTGACGCCTGTTAGGAATAATATATCTATTCTAGCCAGGTATCTTCAGACTGTCTCCATTCTGAGTAGGGTAGTTGCATCTCCTAGGATTTCAAAAGGCGTAGTTTCCCGAAATTTTCCACCAAAATGAACTTCGTCAGTTGGATTAAATAAGGTAAAGTGTGTGAATATTTTTTTTAAATTTGTCTACACAATTCCCTGTTAAGTCCTGCATACTTAGTTGTCTGAAAACCACAGGTATTTTATGTCTGGAGTTGGTAAAATGTCAAAGTTGAATCAAGGATGATCGAGATCTAGTATTTGGTGGACAACCTTTGACGGTGCCCTATAATTCTACAAAAATCGCCTTCTTCCGTAGCATTCGAATTGCCCTCAGTCGGTTTTCAAATGTTTCATTCCACATAAAGCAGTGTAAGTTGTGTAATGGGCAACAAGTCACAGAATTCATTCAAAATTCCCCAAGAGTTGCTAGGATATCATTAGCCAAAAAGCTTTCACATGACAATCAATTTTTTACTGCCAACATGGCACCATCTTAACACGTGAGTAAAAAAACAACCATAATTTCACCACCTTGCTACTGCAACCTGGCTTGAGAGTGTAATGGAGGACCTCTTTAGAATAGTTGAAAGTCATCGTTTAAGTCCGATGCAAAAATATCAGGAATTCCCTTGCTATTATTTCAGAAAAAAAGTGGTTCATTTAATGAAGATCCGATAGCTTAAATTCAAATCCCCCCACGTCAGGTTAATTCATTAATGATGACTTAAGCAAATCTTCACAAGAAAACTTACATACATGCGTATTTGAATGTACCTTCTAGATGAGAGATAGTGAGTAAATACGCCCCTCGAACACACCTAACCGTCCAACTCCTCTGTCCGTTCCATGGGCCTGAAGGCTGAAGTGGAGGAGAGAAACACCATCCTATTACAATGGATATTGTAGGAGTTAAAGGCTACCCAAAAAGGAAAAAAGGTTTGATATAATTGAGTAATAAAATGGCGGTACCTACTTTACCTTGTGACCCATCTTTAAGATGATTGACGACTTACGCAACGACTTCGAAACTGTTTCTTTTTCACAATCATGCATTTTGGATGAAAACACTGGTATATTTTGTTGTATCGCAAGATGTTTGTGTCTCATGCATAAATACTTCATGCTGAGGATGAAGTAGCTTTTCTTTCGGTTAGCTCCTTTGACACTGTACAGTCAACTACTTAATTAGTTCAGTAGTATTCCGCGTGGTAAACTGCAAGGAAAAATCGGGAAATTCAAGGAGGTAGCCAAAGTATTTATGCTACTAAATAAAACAGAAAGTCAAAAAATTATGTCAGACTACCTTTTAAGACTAAAACTTTAGCTTTAGGTCCTCTTTCATATTTCTCAATCCCCTCTATGAATCAGTGTATCCAATGTAGATCAGTAGGCTAAAAATCCTTTCCGGCTCTACTACATCTCATGAACCACACTCTCGGATATTCCTTTTCCCACCAGTTTCTTCATTTTTAAAAAAGAATGCTTTCGATGGAGATCTTTCGGATAAATTCTTATTATTCGCTCAGTTCACCAACCTCTGAACCTAATCTCGAGTCCTTCGAATTGTCTAGTCTCCTTTCCAAAGAATAGATGTTCCACTTAAAGATAGGTCTAGCCTTTGCCTCTCACAGACACCACTTCCAAGTTGGTTCCCTTTATCATCGACAAACTAATGCATTCTTGAGCCGCCTGCAACTTCTAAGTCTTTTTTCTTAAAATCGCCTTTCAGTGCATTGTTTCTGCCAATGCCAAATCAACCAATTCCTCAGCGGGGATTGTTCAACTTCCGTTTTCCTCTGAATCATCCATTTGCAGTTCCCATCCTTCCAATTTCCCTACTTCTTCGGTTCCCACTCATCTAGACTGTCCCATCTTTTCACCAGCAACTGACCACACCATTGAATCCACCTATTTCCCAATATGTTGGTCCTTAAGGATATATCTGTACCACTTTCGATTGCAGGTCACTTTACCGCATCGCCAACACTTAAATACATTCGACTATATTCCATGTTTTCCAAGTAGCCAGAAAAAAATTGTTCAAAGATATGGGACTCTCAGTTATACCTAGTCTTTTGTCGATTCATTCAGTGTTTCCAAGGAGGATTGGCTAGGCAGAATTTGATTTCATCGCTACCTAATTCGTATTTCCCCTGCCAATTTGGATTGGTCTGTGTCCAATCCATTGACTCGTCCAGCTTTGCTTATCTCAGTTTCAAGTCAGATAATTTTTCCGCCTTTTCTCATTGTCAAAGCCTCATCGTCCCATCAGTGAAATTCATCTTAATTTTTATTTGGTCATTTCTTTACTTGGGGTCATTCTCAGGTCAACCCGCTGCATGACCAACATTTAGGCAAGACCATTACCTAAAACCACTGTGTCAAATTCGTCTGTCCAATGCTTTCGGGTTTTAAAAACAAGGACAATTAAGAAGAGGGCCAAACTACGATCCAGTGAACCTCTTCCTATGACGCAGCATCGGCTAAGGCGAGAGCATTATCAACTCGACGAACCTTTAATGAATTGCCTGAATGGGGGGAGGAGCGGTGTGGGCGCTGGCATGGGGCGCACGCTTTGAAAATAGGACACGCGGCCATCCATAAAGGGGCTGTGTGTATATGTACGGCAAATGGAACAACTTCCCCTTTCGTGAATAAAAGGAGCGTCACTTGTGCTGACCCCATGTCATATCAATCACTGAGTTAGTGTCTGCATCACCTGGCGTGTGTATCACCTTTTGTTTCACACTTTTCACCTAGATTTTACTTTGCAGTTCAACTTATTCCCCTTTTGATCAAATGCGGCACATATGTGTGACGCTGTTATATAAGGCCATCAAATACTATTGAAGGGAGCGTTTTGTGAAGTGCTTTGGTGTTTAACGGTTCGCCATTCTTCAAATCTTTCCATTAATTCACGATTTGTGTTAACCATCAAAATTTTTTTTCCGTAAAACCTATTGATAAGCATATACACTCACTTGCCTTGATATGGTCTTACGTGCTACCATAAATCGTAAAAGTAAGTTCAGAGTAGAGGCTGGCGGTGAATAGGGCATTACAGAATCCCTAACTGAGTGTTCACTCAACAATCATGTTGTCAGATCAGTGTTGCCAAATTTTGCCATAATTTGTTATAACTTTTAAGGCTATTCAAAATGTGTACATTCCTATGATCCGAGCGTGATTAAACAAAGCCGAATCGCCTGACGAGGTCAAACCTTGGGTAAATTAAGTTACTTCTCTACAAATTGTATGTGTGCAGTGGCATTTGATTCCAAATTCTCCTATTTACGCATTTCTAGCCTCTACTACACTCCTCTATCCGGCTGATGGGATGGAAATAAGGCAGGCATTTAAAAGACCGGTACTTCGGAATTCTAATTGTTGTACATATCTGAGTTGCAAAATCATTGAAATAAGGCACCAAATTTTTTTGTACTACGGCCTAAGGTGTTATTTTTTACCTGGCATTTTCCCAACGTTTGATTTTGTAACCAAGAGAGAGTTGCGATTTGAGTAGTCGCATGATATCAATGTGAAGAGATGAATAAGAAATGGCGAAAGTATTTAATACCCAACATTCATTTTAAGTGTATTAATGCTTAATTATTCCCTGCTAACAGTAGACACAAAAGCGAGCAGATTACAAAGTAACATAACAAAGTGATTTGGGCTTGTGATGCTTTGTTCCTCCTGCCTTTTTTAACTCCGAACGAGATGAACTCGGAATAGGCAGAGGTGAATCGACCATGAATGCATGAAAGAATGAGAGATAGATGATGATGATGATGATGATGATGATGATGAAGCGGGAAGGCGAGAGAGGGGGAAGGAAGGAAGTTGAGGATAAAAAGAGTTGTGTTGGTTTGTATCAGACAGATGGTGGATAGATAATATGGTTAGATAGATGGATAAATGGATCTCGGTCGTAATTGGTGTTTGCCTGTCAGTAAATGACCTATTTTTAGCGGAAAATTTCATCTGCGGTGTGCCACACACAAAGGGGGTGAAGTTTTCCGGTGATGCTTTAGAAGCTTGAAGTGGATGCTACATTGTTTGGGGACGACCATTGATATGGCGGTTCGTTCATTGGAGGGTACAACACCAAAAAATATTTCTCATTGCAGGTCATTCCGTCAGTTGACTAGCAAGCCTTGAATCTTTCCATCTTCCGTCAATAAAATGTGGGTGAAGGCAATTTGCTTAGCATTTGATACGGGTCTCAATTAATTATGCTGTCACCTGAACTCTACTGTTTTCTACCTCCAAAGGCAAATGTTCTTATGATTGCCAAAGTAGATTTACCACGTGGAAAGTCAAGGTGGATTCCCAAATTAAGGTGGAGTCATAAATTTACCTGTGTGGGCTGGTAGGCCGCCAATTTAGTGTCACAATGGTCTGTTCATGTCACTTCTGGTGAGGATTCATCCAGTCCTTCCAATTTTAGAATGAAGTCATTTAGGGGCTTAACTGTCTCATAAAATCCACAAATTTTTATTTCCATCAAGGTTATAACTAGTTGCTGGTTATTTACTACTGGCGACTTTTGATTAATTCACTAAGAATTTTCTATTCTCAAAAGACGTCTCGTAAGCATTCTTCCATTACGTCATATTTTGAAAAACAAGTTTGTTTCTAGATTCCCAACTTGGAATACCCTTAATCGTTTCACTAAAAAGACCTTTTTTAAACTTGAAACTGTCAATTAGCCTGTAAGCTTCAGGTGTGTGCTCCTGTGATAAGGCTGAGTGAACAGGCGACCTTAAATCTCTCTCCACGCGGACTAGGCATGTTCTCTGAACAGCAGCTATCCAGTCAACCAATCAACCAAACCAACCGCGTGGGCTGCCTAAGCAGTCAAAACATAACTTGTTCTCCCACTCTCTCCCACCCCACTTCCCGCCCCAGCTAAACGTAATTGGCAGCGTCAAGGTCATCGTGACCTTGCCATCGTCGTGCAGCCTGACGCGACCTGAATTGTGCGTTTGACAAAGTTGGCATCGGCAAGATCATCTCTGCAAAGTGGAGGGGGGGGGGGGGAGGAGGGAGGCCATCAATCATATGCCAGCGCAAAACACTTCAGCGGCATGAGTGCGTGGAGTGTCACACTTGCATTCATTCTGTGTGCAAGTTACAAGGAGGTGAAGAGAAGGTGACTCTTGACAATCAATTACCACGTGCTTTGCCTCCACATCATAAGTGATAGGGAAGGTAAAATCACTTGTCGAATTTCACCATTCTATTATAAGGTAAAAGACCTTGTGTGCCATCAGATTGGCATATTCCAACCAAAGCATCGTAACCCACACTCCCTTTCCAACTTTGCTAAAAAGAATTTTCGGCATTGGTGTTTAACGGAAAAATGGTTTTGAAAGGTCGCAGAGAATGAGACAAAAAACACAGACAGTGGTTTGATTTTGTCAAGTTTCTACTCAAGCTAAGCGGAGCCCCATTAGATGACGAGGAGGAGACTTTGTGTGTGTTTACAGTCCCTGTTTGTTGTTTTTTTTCCCCCAAACACACTGCGTCATGGGCTAGTGAAGCGAAGTGTCTCAAAGCAAAAAAATTACTCCCATTGAACTGTAAAATGTTTCACATAACTCGAAAAACGCCCACGCAATTTGTCATCAGAGCGGAACATTCAGGACTGCTTCGTAAGTAAGTAAATGGCTTTGCAACTTGGCTTTATGCGCAATGCAGTAATGTGCCCCATTCATACACACACACGCACACCCACCCATGTTTTCGCTGACACTAGTTGGGAAGGTGACACTACCTTCAACCACCTCAGCTCTCGTTGCATTCAGTATATAAGTGAATGAGTTTCTTTCGGTCCAATAGATGATTCATAAAGTTTACTGGTAAAAAAAACGGTTCCTCAAGGGGGTCACCCTTGTCAGTGCTGTATATGTCACCACTAATTTCTTCTCTCTAAGTAGTGTCTAAAGTTTCCGCAAAAAATATTTGAAAAAGGAGACGCTTCACAAGAAAACTTTTCGCATTTATCCGTCTTTAAATGCATTTCATCTGTTCATAATCACCCAGATGAAGGAAACTTTCGCAGGCGTTTGGGAAATTTCGGTGTTCTATTTATACCAGGCTGCCAAAAATAAAAAGGGACTTAATTTTACGGAATATATTTACTGTCAAAGAAGCCCCAAAATGTCGATAAATCCTTCTCATCTCAACTATAACTGGAAGAAAACGAAAGGCAACTTTTAAACAACTAAAATGCTTCTCAGCAGCCTGGAGGAGGTATTCAGTGAGCCCGTATGAAAGATGAGACAATTGGTGGATAATCCAGTGAATGTAATAAATACTTTTTCATGGTCAACTCCTGCAGAAACATGATATAGCAAAACCCATGAGGATACTATCCCTCTTCTACATCGCCGATAATCGCATATATCAGAGCGCTTGCATTATGTCCCAAAAAAGTTAAAAACTCTAGGCAAATTCGACATCATAAATAATGGCTCTACAAACCATGCCAAACTTTGTTTCGTGAATGCCTTCAAATAAGGTTGGTCGCCGCCCACTCACCAACGTGAGATGCGCCTGTTACTACGGTTGGGAATCGCTAAACAGATGGCCAAATTGTTTGAGTAAACACCTACCCACCTTAGTCAAGCCGCCTCCGCCCTCTCCTCCTTCCTCCTGTCCACCTTATTTAGCTTAGCACCAATTACTGCTCACCTCATTTCCTCTTATCTCGGACAGAATGTCTGCAATGCTCACATTAAAAATCCCATTTTTAGCGCCCATGCCCTGCCATGCGCCCTACGTGTATATTCACCATGCGCGTAGTAGTCACTCGATTCATGATTTGCGATGACAGCTAACATCTAATCGCATTAAGGCACATGACTCCTTCAGGCGACACTACTGACCTGTGGTAGCACATTTGCACAGAGCATTGGATTGAAACGCTCAACTTGAATAAAAGCCTTGTGGCTCTTCCCTCCCGGAAAAATTTGAAACTGAATGCACCCTGCATTTCATCCTGTGCAGCATTTATCTTCTTTTCAATGCTATAATTCTAGTCATTCGAACAGGAAATGGGATATGTATTTTACATTAAGGTCTAGTTAATTTTTTAAAATTTTCACGCCACTTAAACAAAGCGCTCAAATCCTATTGGCTGGTGACCAAGGTGCAAATCTAAATAACATACTTATGTAAATTTCCCCATTAAAACAACATTTGGCCGCGTGCTGTTAGTAATTCCCATACACTTATTCATTTATTCACCACATCCTTTTGCCAATTAATTCTCCTCAAATACAATGAGTCAAGGCCACAAACTAATCTTCCATATTCCCTTTCAATTTTGGGCACAAAATACGGCAAATGATAACATGCAAGTGAAACACTTTTATCAGGTCATTATAGGTAAATCTAGAAGTCATGAATTTGACAGACGCCATCCAGTGTTATTGGTGGCTATTAAACAATTCCAGCCGCCAAGACTGGCTCTACCATTTCAGTTGCTTGTTTGAGCAGCACAAGCCAACCTCCTGGTTTAACTGGACCGATAAAGCGCAATTTATTGCCCCCTCGCTCCCTGATGCTGCGTCACAACTGCGCGAACACCAAAAGCCCAGTCGCAATTAAAATATCCGCTCACTTCGTACTGCAAAATGGCATCAATTTGAGAAGTTCACCCTGCCAAAAATTAACGCTGTGATAAATAAATTTTTATTTTAGAGTCATTTTTGGAAAAAAGATCAATGTCCACCGGGATTAGGCAATGTGATTATTCTTCAAGATCATAGATAACTATCTGACCTGAAGCAGCATCCCTTTTATTTCCTGGTTGTTTCTGTCACTTTTTAAATAATCGCAAAACAGCGGCGAGTGTTATTGTCTTTTCACCCTAGCACAATTCAGCCTCCACCAAAACGGAAATCAGTGTGATCATTATAAAATTATAGTAATCGAATAGATTCATGTGAGTTCTTATAACAAATATTGAGTGTTAAAAGAGGCTATCTTAATAGTTCACTTTTCTGCTCATGCTGCAATGCAGTCCACTATCGCTAGTCCCTTTCTAACCGCACGCAAGCCTGCAGCAATTTCCACATTTGTCCAAAGTTTTGCCCCAAGCACCTGAGAAAAAACGTAGTTCTAGACACCTGCGTTACCATCCACCTACCCAGTTCACTCTTATTTCCCAATTGTCCATTCTAATTCGCATATGATCAAGTAATTGTCTAGTATTAATGCCCAAAAAAGGTGATAGTTCATGGAAATATATTGCGAGAGGAACATGGAGGAAGGGGTGAAGGAGTCTCTCCCCTCTTTCCTTCCTCTTTTGACCGACTGACTAGACGTGATTGTTTCTTAACATTATCAAATTCGACTTTAAAGCTTCTGAGACTTTGAATTGGAGTTTAAATGCTAGTTATGATAACAACAGGCATCATCCTCATCATGATATTGATGAGAGTGATCAGAAACTGTCATATCTCGTCAATTGGTCGGAAGAAAGTCCTTTGCTTGTTCGTACAGGGTCTCATACTGCCTTAAATCTCACCAATAAGATCCCATACCAAACTTTGGCTAGAATGAGATGGAGGAGGGGGGAAGAGGAAGAAAGTATGCGAATGCCTCACCCTCGTCCTCCGTATTTCCCTCATAATAACTTCCCGTGAGCTAATTATCACCTTTTCTTGGCATTACTAGCAGACAGCCACTTGATCATTTACAAATTAGAATAGGCAGTCGGGGAATAGGCTTGAATTTGGGTAGGTAGATGGAAAAGGAGGTGCCTGAAACTGCGCTTTTTCTCAGGTTCATTAGGCTACACGTTGGACAAAAGTGGAACCTGCTGTAGGCTTGTGTACAGTTGGAAAGTGACTAGAGATTAAGGCCTGTGAGGCGTTCAAAAGCTTTCTATTGTTACTTTATTATTATTATTGCCTTATAAATAATGCTTTTTGTGTCCCTTATCAGCCTTACACGAATTCCACCTCTACCCAGGTGTCTTAGCCTCTCTCTGCGTTGCCTACAAAGCTGTTTTTAGGAAAGGTCATAACTAGCATCGTCCATTCAATAAATCCCTTAAGCAATAAACTTGTCGTAAAATATGTTCCTCATTGAGTTTGACAGCTTCTGGCTGGAAAAAAATATCTAAATGGAAATGAAAGGGAATTAACCCGAAGTCATAGTCATACCTTTCATCTCAAAACTCTACTTCATGGGTGATCTTTTAGACGCCTTGAAAACTATCCCAATTCAATATGTGTTAACGTTTTTTTGTAAAAACTTTTCTAAACAGTCTTCTTTATTTGTCCTCTTAAACATTTTGTTTGTGTGACGAACTGCAAACCTCAACATGCGACGGATAACGAAGTCACGACACCTCTCACAGTGAGCGGGATGATTTGTCTCAAAAGGGCGAGAATTTTTTGTTTTTAAATACTTGTGCTGGCATGGGGGACTTTACATTTTCGGTTTGGTTTCAAGGGCACTTAAAGCTCCGCCTTTGCAATTCTGCCGGGCAATATGATCTTCAGGCCATCCCAGTAGTGCCCAGACCTTGTGTACATAGGTAATACGCGTTCCGCCCTAGTATTATGTTTTCTTTCTTCTTCAGAAAAGACTCGGTGAGGTACATCGGTGGAAGTGGAATGCGAGCCAGAACTTTAAGGACAACTACCCTCATCTCCATTATCGACTGCTAAACCTTAACCTGAAGGCAGAAGGGCACACGCGGCGAATGGAAGAATCCATGACGACCCACAAGAGAAGGGTTTGAAACAACGTCTACCTTCAGCAAACACCACGTCCTCCTCCACCTCTCTGCCAGCTTGACAGAATCCAAATAGACATGGTTGGGAATGAAGTGACGAAGGAGAAGCAGAAGCGAAACTCTACGAAACTATTTCAAGCATTGTTCTTTGTTAAATGGCTCTGCTAGAAGACCAGTGTTCCTACTACTTGGAATGGACATGCGACATGGTCTCCACAGCTTCAGATCAGGTAGAATTACCAAGGAGATCATGAATGTTGCAGTCAGATACCCTCTCCATCGCAGTTGTTTCGTGGGTGTTGTTATTACAGCACATACTACACTGAGATGGTCGACTTGAAAGGTCGATCAATGGGAGCCCCGAATTCGACGCTCAAAAGGAAAAGAGGCTATGTAATAATTCGACTGCTTGTTTAAATCGCCATTTTGGTTTCGCGGATACTTAAAGCTCCGCCTTTGTAGTTCTGCTGTGCCAAAATGACCTGTAGTCCTTGTTAGTAGACGCCGCAGCCCGTTTGCATGTCGGCAATACACATTTAGTCTTCAAGGAAGTCTCGGGCGGCACAAAACTTCTATCCAAAACACGATTTTCCCTGCGAAAGTACTGTAGACGCGGAATTCTAACTGATATTTTTGGAGAGACAGATAAAAATTCTACATTCCAGGCATAGCATTAGGCATTGAATTCCCAGTTTACAACTGTAATCGCTCGAGTCTGGTGTTTTCTCCTAATAATTGGAATTGTGTGTGGTATATCATCAAAAGGACATGATTTGTAGCCCACCCAAATACCAGAGAAGTATGAAAAGCCATTCACTTATTTCTCAAACCTTTCCCCACCAAGTGAAATTCTCCAAACCACTTTGCTGGAGCAATTTTTTCGGAACCAAAATGGAAAACATTTTATTGTGAAATCTTATCTTTATCTCCGGGCAAAAAGAAGCAGGAAACTTTAAGTAAAACTAAGAAGCATGAATAAGTAATGCATCTCGAAAATGCCTACAATAGAGGTTCGCTGTAACAACTCAAGTCTTTCCTGAGGTTGTGGGAAGACAGAGTACCAGGGCAGAAAATGTATTTTTGCATCAGAGACTGCCTGGTGGGACTGATGGCATGACCCCGGAGGCCATTTTCACCTGTCAGAAGTACGAAGGCTCAGCCTCTGGTGCCATCCTTAAACCGAATCAACACGGTTTTATTTTGCAGCCTAGCTTACTTCAATGATGCTTACTTTAATGGGGACTCATGATAGTGGAGATTTAATGATTCATGGTGTGCTTTTTTAAAGTATGTTGATTGCAAAAACACCCTGCAAAAAATAATGGTTTTTAAATGTGCCTCCCAGATCATGTGATTCACCCCCAAGGTCACATCAATGTACCCCAAGTGGTAACAGGGCAGTGAAACTCGTTCTCCAAATTTACTCTTCTTCCATAGGAAACCAAATTTCAATGTACTTTTTCAAACAAAAACAGAGCCTGTCTAGCCAGCTTGTGAGGAGCCAGTTCGGCGTTATCGATGTCCCACTACCGCCACCGCCTCCGTTGTTTATCATGAAAGGCCCACTTGAGGTCTGTGTATTTACCTACTAGGCAGCAAACAAATACTAAGTGCTGCCTCTCTCGCCTGGGTAATTTTAGTGTAGGCAAAATCATTTATGAAAAGATGGAAACTGTCAATTTTCTCAGTCGAGTGCAATCCACCAGCTCGTATCTATGTTTCCCGAACTTTGTTACAGGTGTCTATCAATCAGCTTTCTAACAACGCAGGCCACGTCAATTTCATATCTTTTCTCAAATTGAAGCACCTTTTAGCTTCTTTTCCAACAATGTGTGTTGACTTCAGCTGGAGCATGCACTTCAGTTTTTCAAGCACTTGTAGGTGCATAGGGAAAGGGAAATAAACAGACAAATTTGAAAGGAAGGAATAAAAGTAGTATAAAATTGGTGTATTTAGGTGAGAAGGTAGAAGTATACACATCAATGGATAGATTGAAGAGGAGGAGCGCAATATCTATTGCAAATGGTACCTTGTCTGGGAAAAGCGAAGTAAATCGCATGACTGTAATTTTGATATCTACTGAAGATGAGAAAATTTGATTCAAATCTCCAAGAGCATCGATGCGTGAGAGTAACTGGATATAAATGTGGTCGTTCGTAAACACGCTTAAAATTTTTACCACAAACGTATAAAGATGGGACTGTATTCCTTTAATTGTTAGTTTAACTCTCAATTTTGGTAACAGACCACTTAGAGGCTCCGCCATTATGCCTCCGCCGGGCGGCTTGACCTCTGGGTCACGCCTGTAGATCTTAAGCCCATCTCTAGGTCAACACTATATATTCTACCCCAGTATTGGGCATTCTTACATCTTCAGGGAGGTGTCGAAAAGCTAGGGGGAAGACACCCAATTAATAAGGGAAATTGTATTAAAAGCTAGTCATATTTAGGAGGTTTTAGATCTGGTCACGTAAATTCGCAGGTGATGCTGCTAGTTAGCCTTAATTGAATACATCAGTCCAGCATGAGAATGCCAGATGCCAAGCAATCTTCCCCTCAAATATCATTTTGATCTTCAGGTTTTCTTATACCAAAAGACCTCTGAAAACTGTGCTATAATGTACTGGAGCTTCAAGAGAAGATACCACCCTACCTCAACTGGTTGGTTAGTTGTGACTGTAAATAATAGAGTCTAGGTCCTTAAAGGCATCCTGACATGAACAGCAGTAAATAATCGTATTTCATTGTATTGTGCTTGTCTTTTCTGCACAATGCTGAGACAAAACCCGGACTCGAAGGGCCATCTGTAGGATCTTATTCAGTCTGACACTTTGTTTTCCTTGGTGGAAATCTCAAAGTGCTCAACTCTCATTTGAATGGAAAACTCTTCCTCTAAATCGAAGACGTATTCTAACCTCGGTGTTTGAAAGATACTTCCTAGCAATGGTCTATGCTTCCATCAAAGCAGTAGAGTGAGGAGTTATAGGGACATTGAGCGTGATTTAACGGTCCAAAAGAATTGACTTCTACTTCTTCCTATTTTTTTCCCGTCTCCTTTACGGTGGCGTGGGTCTCTGCTTATTTCAACTACTTCATTATTTTTCCTTCTCCTTGGGGGCTTACATTCAACCCGTTTCCAGATTTATGTACATTTAAATGACCTTAGAGACAATACAGGTATCAAGTTGGTATCAAGGGTGAAACATCTCACCTCAGGTCACCTCTAGCCAAGGGTAAGACCACTTTCACCTGGGCTTCTGTGAAAGGCGGTTGCTATGATAAGGAAAGTGTTTGCATTTGGTGGCAGAATTGGGGCGGCTCATAGCTGAGAAAGCTAAAAAAAATTAGCCAACTGCTTCACAGCTAATCCAATTTGAGATTTTGCGTTGAGGTGAATAGCAAGGGGAGCCGTGTGATGAACATCTTCCAGCCTTAAGTGATACTACCCAGGC